GAATAAATATTTTGTGGTTAAATATTTTTAAAATGTTTAACTTTTAAATCTAAGGATTTGAAATTTAAAACAAGATTCCACGTAAGTAGTTAATTCTGTTACCAAATAATTTAAAAAATACATAAGCGGCAAGCGCAGTTTATTTTTATAGTACCTAATTTTAAGTTCAAATTTGGACGAAACTACATAAAAATCTAGAATAACTATTTTAGTTATTTTGTTATTGCAATTCCCGTCTTTTCTTAATTTTTCTTTTGTTTTTCTTGGCGCTTTAGAAAAGTACTGGGAATTTTAAATTTCGACCTCCCCAATGCACCAACGATATTCACTTTCCAATCGAACAAGATACTGAAGTCGGAAATCGAAGCATTATTTCGACTACTTATCGTGTACACACACACAAAAAAAAAAACAAAAAAAAAAAAAACCGGTCAAGTGCGAGTTGGACTCGCGCACCGAGGGTTCCGTACAAACCTGTAGGTATATAGTAAAAGTTGAACCAACACGACAATCGAGTCATAGTTATGGTATTTTTATTGCAAAATGAAATTTATAACATCAAAATATGAAAAGCTGGAGGATCATAAATTAATGACAAAGGTATCTTTATCGTTAAATTGTTAAATTGTTCGGCTTAAATTGTTATTATTTCTTTCGACATAAAAGTTTGATTTTGTTACAGTTTAAAGGTATTATAGACTTAAGTATTTAATATGAATTTTAATTTAATACATGAGATAAGAAGTAGTAACTTTGAAATTTTCAAAATTGTCAAAAATATTTTATTTTTATATGATGAAACTAAAAATTTATGGTTTTTCGTAATTTTTCCTATATCTGTACTATAAGACGTGACTTCGTACGAAATTTCAAGATTCTAAGTTCACGGGAAGTACCCTGTAGGTTTTGATTCCCGTGCGAGTTTCGAAAATTTGCGGCCTAAATGGCTGTATCTTTTGATTGCGTTGGATTAGAAGGTTGATTTTTCTACAGCTTCCAGGGACAGTAGACCTGAGTATCATACAGAAATTTCAGTTTGATACCTCCACGCGTTCCTGAGAAAAACGGTCTTGACAGACGGACGGACGGACAACAAAGTGATCCTATAAGGGTTCCGTTTTTTTCTTTTGAAATACGGAACCCTAAAAAAAAACACACATCATTGTAAAATCAATACATTCATCGTTTCACTCAGAATCTAAAAGGTGATCTGCTGTACAGTAGGTTACAAGTGGGTCACTGTATAATGGATGGTATTAAATTTGAATTCAATGATCTAATGGGTATGAGGTATCATTGTATAAGAAAAACGAAGCCTTGTATTACATTTTTACACTTTTTGGCCCAACAGATAAAACTTTATTGATATTTAAAGAAAAAAAACAAAAAAAAATTAAAAACTGAAAATGTCAGTAAACAGCTCAAAAAGAGTCAAATTATTTTCAAAATTATATGGTGTGTAGGAAATGCTAATATAAACATTCAGTGAAATTTTCATGTATCTACAGTTATTCGTTTTTGAATTACAACAAAATAAGGAAATCGCTACATAATAGAAATAGAGTGAATATCCAATGTTGTAAAAATTTGAATTTCAAACGCTCATACAAATTTAATTTGACTTTCTTATAGACATTTATTTCTTGATAAAGGCAGATAATCTTATTAGGAATCTTGTATCACATTTTAAAATCTTAGGTTTAAAAAGAAAAATTTTTACGATTTCTTTACTCAAAATAATTTTATTAATTTTCGTGATTTTTTCATATTTTGTCAATTTTTGAACTTTAAATGCTTATAAAAAAAAAACTGTGACTAAGGATTTTTAATATTTTTCATCTGCCTTTGAAACAATATATTAGGAGCCTTCTATTAAATTTTCAAGCTTTCGCAACCAACAAATAAAATTGTATTGATATTTTTAGAAAAAAAACTAAAAAAAGATGGAAAATGAAAATGTGCCTAAACAGTTCAAAATAAATCAAAATATTTTGAAAATGTTTTCGTGTATAGAAAATGCTAATATAAACATTCAGTCGAAATCGCATGAACCTACGGTCATTTGTTTAAGAGTTGCACCAAAAACCACAATCGATTTTTTCGAAAATAGATTTTAGTGTAAAAATTCCCGTTTTTCCTTAATTTTTATTTTGTCTTTCAAGCCGTTTTTGAAAACTACTAGGAAATTTTTGACCCCCCCAATGTACCAAATAGATTCACTTTCCTATCAGAAAAGCTACTGTTGAAGAAAATCCAAGAACTTTTACTGTCCCGACACGTGATGACAGACACAAAAAAAAATTAAAAATTAAAAATTAAATAAAAAAACACACATCATTGTAAAATCAATACATTCATCGTTTCACTCGGAATTTAAAATTAATAACGAGTTGATTCTATAATAATTTAATTAACCAAAATGCAGATCTGCCTTATTGAAAATCAGAAAATGTGCCGCAGTATTTTATCAAATTTTGAAAAAGTTTAGAATGATAACATGTAGTATGTACCTACGTAATATTGGAATCTTTATTTTTGACTTGAAAACCACACTTATAAAGTTAACAGGACAACTGTGACAGATACATAATAATATATGCAATACACCCAAGTATAACCTTAGTTATAAAATTTAACATTTTAACTACAAAATAATTGTCAAAGTTTGTTATTTTGACAAATATTTTAAAATCTACCTTATGACAATAATTATATTATAATAATATAATTACATTAAATTATTTGTATAAAATTTATAAGTTGATCTATAATCTTAAACATAATTACTTTAGCTTAGTTTTTATTTATAAAATAGGTAGACAAATCATTATATTCTAAATTATATAAATCACGATTATGTTTAGAACTTAACACTCCCAACGCAGGCTGAGCTTACATAGATTGTTCTACCTAGCTATTATATTATTATATCTATAATAAATTTATGAGTATGTATTTTTGTGGTACAAATAAAGTCTTAATATTATTGTCCTTATTATCTTAATAAACTTTACTACATTAGCAGAAGGTGAGACAGATAAGTAATTTATATAATTATGAATTTTTTTAAGTTAATGAAGAATTATCAATAAAATAAATTTCCCATAAAATCATGTTATTTGAAGTATGTGGGGGTATCAAATTTGTATAAATTATTGATTTTAATAAACGATGCTGCATGGGGGTTAAGCCTATTAACTTAATATCCTATTATCCTTAGTCACAGTTTTTTTTTTTTTTTTAAAGTATTTAAAGTTTCAAATCTTGACAAAATAAGGAAAGTAAAAATTTATAAAATGTTCAACTTTTATAGGTGAGGATTGAAAATTTAAAACAAGGTTCGGCGTAAATAGGTTATATATAAATATAAATTACTTTATTTACAATATCATAAAATATACTAAGTAATATTATGGGCTGACTGACCGTTTTCGCTCAGAATCGTTTTTCTTATACAACGATATTATATCATTGAATTCAAATTTAACACCATCCATTAAAATGACCCACTTGTAACCTACTGTACAGCAGAGACCTACCCACCTTTTTTAATATAACATTTTTATAAATTTGGGGGATAATATCAAACATTTGGGAAAGTTGATTTCAAGTAGACTTGACGACGAAATCAAATCTGTTTTCAGAATTCTTATCGCTTCAATAGATCAATTGGAATGTTTGGCAAAAATCCCGTCTAAAATACTATGTCGCGAGTGTGTTAGACAAAAACAGAAAATCACGGTATCGAATCCTTTTAATATAAATAGGTAAACATTTAATATATACACTTGAAGTACAGAATGGTTAAGTTTCTGTAAATAGTAAAAGTCATAAGAATGTTATAATGAATAATTTATAGTAAATAATTAAATTATAATTAAACTATCCTGGATAGGATAGTTCAATAAATATAAAATAGATACAGCCCTATCGATCAACAAGTAAACTTTATAACAAATTCAAATGTTTTCAGATTTATTATATCTTATTAGTTATTGGTACAATGGACAAGATTGAAAAGATGTTCTAATAAAAAATAAACTGTCAGTAATGAATCCTCTTAAGACAAAATTATGATTTAATTTGTGTAAATAAATGATTATTTAAAAACATATTCTGTGCAAAACCGCTATTTAACAGTGCAGAATTTTATACTAACTAACTTATTTCAAAGCTCTATTAGCAGCATTCATTTTGGTGCCAGTGACACTCCCACAACCGCTGACAAACTCTTATCCAAATTTTATCTGAACAACCATTTGACAAGCAATATATAGGTACTTCAGGAGTTACAGTAGTGTATTTAGGATTAAGGTGGAGGGGGGATATACAATTTTTAATAGACATTCAGTATACAGATATTATTTTATTATTATTAAATACATGTATTATTCAGAAAATTGGTCTCTGGGGCGGATGGGGGTTATGACTGAGGAGTCAAATTGCAATATATATCTGAGTTTTAATAGTTTTAAAATATTTTTATTTATAAGCAATTTGTTTGGTTAAGACATAATTTCTTGATCAGTTTTACTAAATAGTAAATACTAACACATACAAGACTCAAGTATAATAAATGTTGTCAAATGATATAATTAAGAATATGTTCAAAGAAATGTTACATAAATACTGTTGAATAAATGTTCTATTGTCACCTAATACTAAAATAATACAAATTGACAATCAACACAACATAATAGTATAGTACTCTTAGTTCAATAATTTCAAAGTATGTTTAATGTTTATCAATATTTATTTTTATTTTCCATTTTCAGATTAATGATTTTAATACTTTGATAACTATATTTTCTATAGGAGCAGTCTTTAAAAATATTATTATAGGAAAATAATCCTTTGTCATTTATATCGCTACATATTCATTTAACGAATATAAAAAATAAAACTTGTATTAATCATATTGATAGATGATGTGAACAAAACCATTAAATTTAAATAAATAAAGACAAAATAATAAATTATAACCCACGTTCTTAAATTACTTAAGCAAATATTATTTCTGGAAAATCCATAACTGGCAATGAGGGAAAGGAGTAATCAATCTCCGGTTCTCCTAAAACAAAAAAAAATATATATATATTTACAATAATAATCACTAATCAGTGAAATTCACAGAGTGTAGTGTTTCATCTATTTTGGTAAGTTTATAAAACTATTGAAGGTTGTTGGAGCATGGGCACGATTTAAGGAGTAATATTTAGACTCTTCATATTACAAGTACATTTGAACTGTGTCATTGTATAAGAAGTAAATTAAGTGTGAACATAACTATATAAGTTCCTTATCGATCAGCAAGATAATGACCTTAATAAATTGTCTACAATTCCAAAAAGTCTCACACATGAAAAGGTCACCAAATTAAGTGTATGACATTTTTCTGTTTTTAAAATTGAAACAACACAGCTAAAAGATATATTTTGTTACTTCCCGTAACCAAATTAAAAAAGATATGTATCCGATAGTTTTTTACTTGGTTATGTAGGAAAAATAATTTTTGTTTTAGAAGTTTATTGATATGTACAAAATAAAATACTTTCATGGTTTTTGAATAATATACAATTTTTTTTAAGCCTTATTGAATACAAAAATGTATTTCCTACATAACCTAGAAAAAGGGATGATAAATTCATACATATATTCCAAACAATAATCCAACATCAGGAAGTACGTATATTACTATACTCTGTTTTATGGGAGAAGGAATTAATTTAGCGATGAACTAACGGCATTTAATGACCTGGGGCACTAATTCTTTCATACAAATATTCTGGGCGGCAGCATTGTATAGCACTACAACTACAAGCCATGTTTAATTAGGGGAAATAGAGACCCATCTTAAACACAATACTAACATAATAATTAAAACTATAATATGTAAAATCCATTATCTTTACCAAAATTATCAAATTGATTTTTGATTTTATGGATCATTATATTATGATAGTCTTCAAGAAACCAATCACTTGTGTCATTATTATTGCCACCAAAAAATTCACTCAGCATTCCAATGTTACAAGTCATACTTGGAGGCAAGACATCTGTAAAATATAAAAGAATAAGTAGTAATAAGTAAATCTTACAAGTTACAATGCATATCAAGGGTGTACCTGGAAAAAATGTTTGAGGGGTTGTCCAAATTTATTTAATATAGATACTTAACACTTATTATTTTTACATTCAAAAATAAAAACTCTTGTTCCATTATATTATATAAAAGACCTACAAATATACTCCAAAATTTACAAATAACTCCCAAAATTAAGTTTAGTAGATACTTTTTTCAAAAACAAGTTGTTACTTTTTAATTTATTTTAACTGAACTTTACCCAAAATTTGTTTTCATTGATTGCTTTCAAATGTATAGGATTATAATACAGATGAACTTAGTTGAACATAATTATCTTTATCAGATTTCATCTTGAGTTTGGAACAAGTCAAATCACAGTTATTCTTCACATATAAATCTCATTAAAAATGTTCAACATACAATTTTTAAATTAGTATGTTAATATTATAATAATTAAGTAATCATAGAAAGTGGATCCTGATTGTAGCATTCATCCAAATAATGTCATCCTGTCATATTTGTTACTTTTAGCCTATAATCTTATTGTATCTAACAATACAGATTATATAATGCTATTGGCTAGTAAAAATAAAAAAATAAAAATAATGTTAAAAATTAATTAATATGCTAATTTTAAGACTCGTACAACTTGTAGTAAATCTCCCAAATGGGGTTCACATTTTGTGAATTGGGAAGAAATATTGCACATATTATTATGTTAATTTGTTACATATAATTGAATTCCCAGAATGACTATCATAGTATCATTAATTGGCTTTAATACCTATAACCAAACAATGTTTAAGAAATTTGAATTTGTTTCATGTTCCATTATTTTTATAAGAACAATTATAATGAGTAGTTAGTAGTAGTGACGCATTTTTCTTCACTAGAACTCTATCATTAGCTTATCATATTAGGTCAGGGATAGGCAACTGTGACTCTCAAGCCACATGTGGCTCTTATAATCTTAAGTTGCGGTTATCTCCAGTTCCACACTCAAATATTAACTACTTAATAATATAAAATTGAATAAATTTTAACAAATATAATTTTGTGTTTAAAGTTGTTTACTTAATTATAAGCTAATACTATTACATTAAAACAAACATTTTTAGTGATTCTTTAAACCTGGAAAATGTTGTATATTGTAACTTTTGGCTCTTCCTGTATTAGATACTTAAGTACATTCTGTCTTATAATATTTTCAAACAAAATGTATACCTATAGGTATTTACTTTCATATAATTTAGTTGCTATTTAAATCTACCTATATTTATGGTTTCAGTTATTGTTAAATTATTATTTTTTGAAGTATTATTAATAGTAATATTTTTTTTTTATTGTTTACTACCAACCCTATGTTTACTAGGTAATAGGTATTAGAATTATATATTACCGTATCTACTAATACTTAAGTTATATCTCGCTCTCATGATTCACTGTACTTATTTCTTTGCTTAAGTGCTTTCGTACCTGTTTATTATAATATGTATTATGGTCTATAGGTAAATAAATAAATAAACAATTAATTTCTCAATTTTTCAAGATATAATAAATAAAAGCTATATGCACAGACAGGTATGTATGTATATAGTGGTGGGGGGGGGCAAGTGTACCCTATTATGAAAAATTTCTTAGTCCATTAAGGGGGTGGAAAATTTGTATTTAAACTTTTATTTTTATTATTACAGCTCAAAAATGTATATTGTATTCATAAATTAGTTGGATAATAATATTAATAATTACAAAAAAATATTTATTTACATCCACATACCCGCTTTTTGTTTTATTTATACTTTAATAAGAACTATTTATTTAACATTGGTTCCCTCTAGAGATTTAAGAGATAACTAGTTGATGAATATAAGAAATATAGAACAAATGCAGTATAGCTCCGAAGCGATTTTTGTGAATTTTTCTTCTACAAATGTGTTTTTACAAGCTTCATATGAAGATACTTTAGAAAAAAACTCCGTCAAATTTGCTTTGGAAGTTTTGTTTGATAAAACTTCATTTTGTTATTAAGTTGAAAATAAATTTTTTTTTTCTATATGTTTTTTGATCCTTTACATTTTGGCGGAATCAGAAACTACCAATTATACTTACTAAAAATGAAGGACAGGTGGAAATCTTCTAACTCGCGGACTTCAAAAGTGTATAACTTTAAAACTAAGTCTGGCAGACAAATTTTGGTTGCATCACTGATTTTTCTTAACTCATTGAAATACAAAGATTTCCAAAAATAAATGTTCAAAACCTAATCACATTTAGGCCACAAAATGTTCAAATATGGCATTGGGCACAGAATATAGTGACAATTATTATATCTTATATTATTTCTTTATAAAGTAAGTGAATGAGAAAAATATGATATTATATTACAAATGATGGGGTTTGGGTTTGAGAGCAATTTTTTTTTTTTTTTGAAAATTATAGGATAATTTTTATACACAAATATGCTAATGGAATTGGGTAAATAATTTTTTAGTCTTTTTTAATTTTTATTTATTACAATAATTTTGTGCATATTTACAGAACAAAATATAAAATGATAAGAGTTTCAGGAGATACGACAATTTGGAAACCATAGTAACCAGTATAATTATTTATGTATGATACATGCACGATGCACTGATAACTTCAGATGATATTGAAAAGTAATATTTGTTGTACAGTAAAACCTCATTATAAAGAACCACTTTTAAGTTGATTTCTGTCCTAAGAATTAAGAGGTCTTTAGAAAAGAAAATAACAGTCCTGTAGTCTTATATGGCTATATCCCGTATATTTTAGTTTCCCTAAAACAGAATTTCCATTAAAATGGAAAAATCAGTTGGAACCGATCAATTATGTTGTAAGGAGATTTCACTGTATGATAATATCTCAAAGAATATCAAGTCCAAAACATCCGAGTTCTTCTAAAAATAGTTTGTCAAAATATATGCACAGATTTATATAATTTGTGATCCCTAGTATATGGTTGACTCGTGAATTTTTTTTCAACACAAAATAATGATAAAATGTCTAGTTTCTTTGGGTAACTTCATACCTTTAATTATTGTTTTTTTTTAAATCTTGAACTCTACTACCTAATGACCTAATAGGTATTAATATCTGAAAAACCCGCGATACAACAAACCTCATTTAATTTACCATAGGTAACTAACTTAAAAAAGTATTAAATTAATAATTACCATTTTCTTGTGTTCTACAATCAAAATGATTAAACTCTTCATTTAGATCGCTGGTGAAGTCTAGTAATGGCGATTTACATTTTATTTCTGTCTCAAAATGTTTCATGGGCAATACCTTTAATTGTTTAAGACCTTTACCATCAGACTTTTTGGTTGACTGTACTGTGTTTGTCAACACTTGCAAGGCAGTTTTTTTGCGATTTGTAACTAAACTATTCTCTAGAAAAAATTAATAAAAAATATAATAAACAAAATAAGTTATTTATGTTTAATTCGTATTTAATTAATGCAGTAATGTATTAACTTACTTATATTTTTTATAGGGTTTTCGTTGTTTATGGAAGCCAATTTACGAACGCGATAAGTATTTGAAGACATGTTGTAAGTTTATAATGGCTATATAACTGCAGAATTAAATAAAATATGAATAGTTTATTAATTATTGTGTGCCGTGGGGCAACGTGTTTCAAGTACTTAAATAGTTGAAAGTTTAAAGTGTTTGAAGAAAACGAAAGACGGAGTGAACCACGAATGAAAACGAAGTATGGTCAGTATGGACTATGGACTATGGAACATCGAAGCGACAAAAATAAATTTGTGGGTTTTAACTTTGATAAGTTTTATTCAACAAAATAATAGATGCAGTCTACTAATAATAGAACAAAATCGACAGAAAATCCAATAGTTAACATACCTCGGAACTGAATATGATTAATAAGTTCAGTCGTTCAGCCGTTCAGCGCACTAGTGCAGTATCACAATTCGCAATATTGTATTATTTTAACGGACAAAAATGAAAATATGAAAAATTATTAACTCAATCAACAATCATGAATGTTTTTAATGTTTTTAACCATGATCTAAGGTTTTATGATTATGATATCAGTAAGTTATCAAGCTTCGCTCGCAGCACGGACTAAGATATACAGGACTGTATACGAGACATAGAGTATACTCTATGACACGAGATGAATATTGTGGTTACGAAATGTTTTACAACAGGCGGAGTTCGGGGGGATATTTTCCTTTTAGCATTACTAGCGCCGTCTTAGTGGATACTTATGGAACTAGAAATTTGTATGATGTGTTCTAGTTCCATAAGTATCCACTAGGACGGCGCTAGTAATGCTAAAAGGAAAATATCCCCCCGAACACTGCCTGTTGTATAACATTTCGTAGTCAACCCCACACCCTCCAACCTTGTCGTGTCCAGTCCTGTATATCTTAGTCCGTGGCTCGCAGCCATGAACATTAGAGGAAGGACGCCGAACAATGTATATAAAAGTGGTCCGGAATTATCGCATTCCGCCAGAATGCGCGTCGGACCGTAATGATGTCGTTTTTACATGTACAGCATAGGAAATTTATTGGTTTTTTAATATTATATTCTAAATGGTGTAACTTATGAATAATTACTATAGAACATTTTTTTAAAACCAAATTGCCCTCGATCGAATATATGTGTTTCCAATAATATACGACTTTTATAAAAAAAGATATAGTTGTTGTCTCTTTTTATAAAAGTCGTATATTATTGGAAACACTTATATTCGATCGAGGGCAATTTGGTTTTAAAAAAATGTTCTATAGTAATTATTCATAAATTTCACCACTTAGATTATAATAATAAAAAACCATTAAATGTCCTATGCTATACAATATGTAAAAACGACATCATTACGGTCCGACGCGCATTCTGGCGGAATGCGATAATTCCGGACCATGTTTTTACGCTTCGTTCTGCTGTGTTCGGCGTCCTTCCTCTAATGTTCATGCTCGCAGCATAGACGTCCTATCTTTTATTACTTTTATAGGTCTATGGCTCGCAGGTATCACTGTAATTTGCTCTGGGAAACGGACCTACCAGACAGTAAATAAAAACGGTTTATACCACTAGAAAAAAACGGGACAAGGGTGGGAAATTCATAAACTCAAAAATCGTACTGGAACTATTTACAATGCCTGATGGTTGGTCACAGATATATAAAAATACTAGATAGATAACTTAGAAATGTTTTTGAAGCCAACAAAATGGCCGAAATTCTCTTATCTAAGAGGTGAATGTTTACATTTTCATAATACTGATAAAGATATTATTGTTATTTAATTTGTCATAATATGATTAATATTATAAATTATAAGTTTAAACTTTGAAGTTGTATAGTTAGTTCATGATGTTAATAACTTAACTTACTTGCATAAGTCTTAAATACATATTATCAACTTATAGCTTATTCAACAGTTATGTAAATTATGTAATAGTGCATGTGAATATTACATTATTTTATAAAAATTTGTTCTATTGTAAAATATTATTAAAAACAATCTGAATTAATTAATTAAAAATTTTACATCCATTTATTATTTTTGAAAAACTATATTTAAAATCAATAAAACAAAACTGGTATACTACCTTGTATAATAATCATAACATATTTAAAATTAATAAAACAAAATTTGTATCTATACTAGTGCTACATATTATAGTAATAAATATAAAATATTTCAAGTAAATAAAACAAAACTAGTATATTAATTAATTTAATAATAATACAAATATTTAAAATAAAACTGGTACCTATAGTCTATACTACATATAATAATTTATACCTACTACTGGTTCATAAAAATTATTTGTTTAGTTAATTTTTGTCTTTTACTAACAGGATTTAAAATTTCTGTTGAAAACATTTTGCCAAAAGAATGGAGTCAAATACTTAGATATTTTTTTAACTAATAATGAAATGAATACCATCTTATGGGGTCTATCTAGCAAAGGAACATTATCACATTGAAGTGTATAAAAAATATTATTATCGAAATGCAAATGTATTATTACATAGATTTATTATTTTTAAATCAAGATTTTTATATTTAATGTTTGTATTTGATTTTGATGTGTGGCTTCACATACTCCTATACACAACAATGTCTTACCCTAAACTATAAATTAATTAATAAAAATCATTCTTAACAAAACTAAATCATATTTTACTAATATAATATACCATGAGTTTAAGGATTGAACTTTTGGTCAAAACTTATGAACTGCATATTGTATTATAGCGTATGTTTAAAGTTAATACAAGTAAATTCCATCCTTTGTATGGTTGTAAATACAAGATCATAAAATAGTTGTAATTTAACTATACCATTTAATGGCATTTATTTTGGAACTCAACGTCTAATAATTAGAAGAGGCTTGTTATTACATAAATATATTATTAATTTAACCAATTTTTGTAATTTCACCAAGTATAAGATATATATTAATAATATTTTCTCTTATATTTAATATAAAATTAAATCTTTTTTGTTTTACTTTATTTTGTTGTAATATGTCATAACAAGTTAAATTTATTTTCATTTTAGTTCATTTTTAATATGAACTCAGATCATTAGAATTCAAGCATGTGCTTATTGGACGAGCTTGAAACTTGTTTATTATATCTATATTGTATTTCTCGTTTTTTGCAATAAATTATACTTTTAATCTTAATTATAAGTCAAGGACTAAGACATACTATAAAATAAAAAATATAAGTACATCTTAGTCCGTGTTGTAATGATATTGTAATTTGTAATACATATTTAATGGTTTTTGATTCCCGCCCACAGATATCTATACTAGTTAGTATAGATATCTGTGTTCCCGCCATAGAATTATCACAGTTTATCATAATTTATATTTTGTAAACATTCACCTCTTAGATAAGAGTATTTCGGCCATTTTGTTGGCTTCATAATTATTACATGGTAGGAATAGGGAGTCGTCTATCTAGTATTTTTATATATCTGTGGTAGTTCCATAGATGACTATCTCGTTTCCAGTCCTGTTTCCAGGCACGGACTAAGATAAACTATCTTAGTCCGTGGTCCGTGGGAACTTCTCACTAGATAAGGCCGTTCCGCAACCATATTATCTATAGCCGTGGTGGTGTTGGTGCTCTTTGCCAGGCCAATTAATTTTTGTTATCAATAAATATCATGTCAACATAGATAATAGATAATTATCTAAGCATGTCAACAACAACTTCCTACTTCATAGTTCATCTACTGTCTTAGTCCGTGGTTGTAACACACAATAGATTAATTTATTTTGTGGTTGTAACTTGTAGTTTACTACTTTACTGTCTAGTACAAATGCTATGCTAGTCAACAATTATAGTCAATCATGATTCATGACTATATAAACATGTCACGTCTTATATCTATATTACAATACTACATCTAGATTCTACAATTTTCTATTAAACTATATCATTGATTAAATATACTTATTATCTTATAAATTGTAATACTATATCTTAAACAATTCAGTTTCTTGAGAGACGTTTTTAATTTCTAAAATTAAATGCGTTATGCTAGCTATCTAAATTAAATAAACTATATATAATTTACAATGTATTGATTTTTGCATGTTACAACAATTGTTTATATTCATCAATTAGAATCTGAAATCTCAATCATTGAAGTCTTCAACCAAGTTTTACAGTTTGAATCTACATTTAAGAATGTCAAACATTTTTACTAACTAAATTAAAAAATGGACAATTTCAAAATGAAATATGAGGTAACTTGTTCTCATATTTAATTGTTTAATTTATTTTATGGGCAGTTTATATAAATAAAGATTTTTGAATCTATACCTATTTATTTGTATAAACCATTTCTTCCACAGATACATTGTTTAGAATCCTGTTATTAAATCAAATTTGGATTCTCATTATACCTTGTAGATCTAGATTTATATTTCCCTTAGTTTTTCAAATATTATGTTGTTGATCTTTACATTTATTAATACATTTTAATTATAAAATATTATAATTTTATGAAGGTACCTGGTGGTATTACCTCAATTATGCCAAGCATCCCAGCAGATTTATTAAGTTATATAAATTGTATCGAAAGTATGCCAGTTTATAAAGGCGAATCAACTCTGCCAAAAAGAGACGTTAATTTACTATCCTTGTATGCTGATAATAATGTAAAGTATATGCCTACTAATTTAATAGTAAGTATTTAGGCTATGTTAAGTTACTACTTGCAATTTTTTTAACATAAATAATAAATTATAATTAATCTACAGCCTGAAAGGGATCTCAAGACTGGTAAAATTGTTTGCTATGAAGAAGTCATTAATGATCCAGTTTTTCAATCTGATGGTAATTTAATACCTTGTCTAAAATCAATGAACAATCAATGTACTGTCAACCAATATGAAGATAACATGTTTCAATTTCAATTTGATCCTAGTATGTACCTATATTTATATTTTCCAAGAATTATAATTGACATAAACAGGCACTTACACAAAAATGATTCGGGTAGGGGGATTTGTAGTCTAAATATATAAATAAATTACACAACTTAATTTT